CAGGCTATATTGACACTGGCAATAGATTCTACTTTTTTTAAAAAAAAGATCTATATGCATGTTGCATTTTAGAGTGCTCATTATTATTGTAGGCTACTGGGTGCCTTAGAAGTTTTAGGCTACAATTCCAACTTCCTTTTCTACTGACTGAGGCTGATGGAAATCAATATCCCATCTGGAGAGCAATGTTTGCCTATGATGGTGGAGGTTCATCCTACATCTGAGCTATAGATATTTACCCCATCACAATGTTTGCCTATCTCTGGTATAGGAAACTTCTCCCCCAACACACAATATTTCAGGAGATGAACTATTCCACTTACTGCTGCCTCTATCTTCTGTGTCCACTAAACTAGAAATAACTACCGGTACTGCAAAGATTCCATGTGGTCTTCTTTTCAGCAGGCAAGTAAGCAGACACTGTAGCAAGTAATTTATAAATAATTGTGCATTCAACAATTCATCTTTGAATATGGAGAGAGGGGGGGAGGGAGGGAGGGAGGGAGGGAGAGAATATCTTGGGAGCTTCCTACTGTGATTCCCCACTGCTTGAAAGCCAAACCACCAGTGCTTGATACTAGAAGTATCAATTCAGGAAGATTTCAGCTATAATCTTCAGAGCTAGTTTCATTTATAGTGGTTCAACTGTTGGATTAATATGCCCGAAGCCCATGTTTTAGTTCACCCTCAGTCATGAAAAAGCACTAGGTAAATTTGGGCTAGTGACTTTCTCATATTACAACCCACTGCACAGAGCAGGGGTGAAATGCTACTGGTTCAGACTGGTTCAGCCGAACCAGTAGCGACGGCAGCACAAGGCTCCGCCCACCCACCCGGTCATCGTTTTTTTACCCTCTGCGCATGCGCAGAAGGGTTTGCACATGTGCAGAGGTCCACACGCACATGTGACATGTGGCGCGTGCACTTCCGAACCGGTAGGGAAGGTAAGTAGATTTTCACCCCTGGCACAGAGTTATTGTTGTTGTGAGCAAAAATGAGGGGAGGAAGTGTTATGTATGTAGCCCTGAGCTCCTGAAGTAAGAACAATATATACATCTAACAAATGTACACCTTGCGCACGGTCACTCATGCCCTAGTTACCTCCCGTATGGACTACTGTAATGCTCTCTACATGGGGCTCCCCTTGAAAAGCACCCGGAGGCTCCAACTGGTCCAGAACTTAGCCACGCAGGTGATTATGGGCGCAGCTCATTACGCCCATGTAACACCTCTCCTACACGAGCTGCACTGGCTCCTGATGGTCTTCTGGGTGCGATTCAAGGTGTTAGTTATCACCTTTAAAGCACTCCATGGCTTAGGACCTGGGTACCTACCTACGTCTTTTGCCACCAATAGCCTCCCACCGACCAGTTCGTTCTCACAGGGAGGGACTACTCAGGGTACCATCAGTCAAATTATGTCGACTGGCGACTCCCAGGGGGAGGGCCTTCTCTGTGAGGGCTCCAATCCTTTGGAATGAACTGCCCCTGGAGATACAGAATATCCCTGATCTCCATGCTTTCCGCCGTGCCCTCAAGACCCTGATGTTCCAACAGGCGGGGCTAAACACATGAACATTTGAATGATTTTTAAATGTTATCTAATTCTGGGTTTTTATTTAATTGACCAAACTAAGTAATAATTTTAATTAGCAATTTTATGATGTTTGTGTGTCTATATTTTTCTTGACTGTACACCACCTTGAGTCCTACGGGAGAAAGGCGGTATAGAAATATAATAAATAAATAAATAAATAAATAAATAAATAAATAAATAAATAAATAAATAAATAAATAAATAAATAAAATCTGCCAGCAAAGCTTTCTTTGATAGACTAATTCATAGGCCTCAATCTGTCAGAGGGAAGTGAATGCACTGCTTCCTAAATCTTTAATAATAAAGCATATTTTCCTTTGAGTTTAATTTAAAATTATACCTTAGTGTCTGAAAATAGTCCTAAATGTAATTTAAGATAGACAAACCCAGAATCCTTATTTCAAACAGGTTGGTTAAAAAGGTGTTTACCATCTCTTATGATTGGAGCACCTGAAACAGATTCATTGTAGAAAGGTAGTAGATTGGCTATGAATGAATAGAGGGAGGGAGGGAGGGAGGGAGGGAGGGAGGAAGGGAGGAAGGAAGGAAGGAAGGAAGGAAGGAAGGAAGGAAGGAAGGAAGGAAGGAAGGAAGGAAGTCCAGACCAGTAAACTAGGTAGAGCTGTCCAGAGAAAGGCATATTATATTTATCTGACATGGCACCCTGATGCTCAAAGTGAGGGACTTTGAGTATGTTCTGACACATATTTGTGGGTTCCTATATTGAGAAGCAAAAGAAGAACAGGGAGCCTGTATCTTTATGGTGTAAAAGTAAGCATCTTCACAAAGGTAATTTGTCCTCAGGAAGACAGAGGAGCCTCTCTTTCTACAACTCTCCAAGTTGCTGGTGTACTAATCTTTTTTGCACCTGTTTCTCCTCCAGCCATTAATAATGGGATGGGCAATATATTAAACAAAAGGCATAGTGGTAACATTTTATTCCAAGTAATTCTGAGAACTTCATTTTAACAAAGGTGTACCAAACACATACTCTTTTAGTACTGTCCCATATTGGTTCTGGTGCTGAATCAGTCAGCACTTATCAAGGCAAGAGTAGAAGAAATAGGAAGGAGATAACCAGGAGGAAAAGCCAGAGGAAGAGCATCAAATTGTCTAAACTGGATAAATGAATGAGTGAGTATGTGCCTATGAAAAAGGAGTGCATAACTTCAAAAGCTGCACTCAAAATTACACTATGTAATCCTATGTAATTTAGAGAAAGATGGCTGTTATTTTTGAATAAACTAGACTAATGTGCATAAGCACACTAAGCCCCAAAAAACTAAATTTAATTCATATACAATCTACCTCAGACAGATTCCAGTTTTGTACATTGCACTACTATACTAGCCTCAGAACTCCTGTGGAAATACAGATCTCTCTTTGTCTTCCTTGAAAGCAGTCCCATTTTGCTTTCATGTACACATTTATCAGTTACATACTATTAATACTCAAATGACTTGGGTCGTTCATCTATAAAACAATCCTGTGAAGTAACTGGCTAAGGAATTCATCTGATCCTCTTGCAAATGGAGAAAAGAGGAACAAGATACTCAAAGCCTACTAAAAGCCACCCAATTTCTTTCTCTCCGGGGTAATATCTGTAATGTATTCTTTCATATCACAGGAAACTTGTTATTTTGAATATTTTTCTAGGATTCATGTTAACAGTTATTTTACCATGCTAAAGATGCAGGCCTAAAATGATCTTTCTCCCTGCACATCCTAACTTAATATAGACAGTCACACAATAGAATTTATTTAAAACTCTGATTTCTTTCTTGCCTCCTTCCATATCAAGATTTCATAAGCTTTTAACAACTGCATAGTGCAGCTATTCAGCAGGTAAACTTTCTCCTAATACTGCATTTTCATGTTGGGAAAACAATGCCTGTTGAATTTCTGCCAGTCATGAAGCTCTTAAATTGTCAAGATCCCTGCCAAAAATAAATCCTGGCTTATATGATTTTAAACTTGCTTTCTACTTTCTGCAAATAGAATATTTTTTATAACTCATTACTTCTTGTTTTATTAAGTACTTATTTAACAGCATGCTTGAATTGAAGGGAAGGAAAATAGCCATTCAATACCACTATAAGCGTTCAAGCTTGACAATGACCTAATGAATTAATTGAAGACATTCTTTACAGATGAATAACTGCATATCGTTATGTATACTATTCTCCTTTCAAATTCACTCCAGTAGAATAAGGAAGGTGCAACCTACAATTCAATTGTCAGTAGCAGAAGTCTAGTTAACAGGTCCAGGTTGCACTTGACATTCTGCCTACTTGGAATCACTTCACACATTACATTTTTAGATTTGCAACTAATATCTTATTAGTGTGCACCTAAAAGGGTGATTACATTAAATATGTGGACACATTATAGGCTATGCCTCCATTATGTGACACCTTAGTAACTAATATAAATGAATATAACATATCGATAAACTATTACTATCCTTGAATTCGCCTCAAATCAAGAGTTTTGCAAATATTGGTGGGTGTGTGGGTGTCAATAGCATAGAGAAAACTAAATGAGAACAAAAGATTATTCTTCTATCTCAAATCTGTTGTTTGAATAGATTCTGGTTGTTTCGTGAATAGACAGCATGGGAGTCCCAGAGAGGATTTATTTGGAAAAGGTAATTGGACCTGGGTGAGGGAAGGGAGTTTCAACCTTCAAACTAAGAATTTGGAACTCTTGGGCTGCATCTCTCCATCTGCCACAGGTCTAACAACTTCTCCCCGCATCCATACGGACAAACGGAATTTCCATTCACGATATTCTAGCCACGATCTGCTAAATTCAAGGGTTCTCAGGGTAGTCACGGGCTGAATGAAGCCCACGAGGTGGTAGCCGGTTATTTGTACGGTACGATCGTTCGTGAGAACTCTTTTGGATCGCATCCGGATCTGCTTTTTTGGAGTTTTCCCACCCTGATAAGTGCAGCTGAACGGAGGGCAGAGGGTGGCGTTATACGGAACACCCCTCTTCCTCCCTCACACGCGCTCTCTCGCCGCCCTGCCTTGGCCGTCAAGGGGCTGCCTGCGACGCCAGAACCGGCTTGGGAGGGGTGCCAGCTAACCGACTGTTCTAATTAAGGGCGACCTCATCGGTCGACCTGCCACACGTGGCCCACTTCCCACCAGGGAGAAGAGGCGCCGCGGATCCTCGGTATACCTCGCCAGCCCTGCCTCCCTTGAGGCTCTCATCCGAGCCAGCCCTGCCCGCGCTTTGCAGCTCATTACCCGCGCGCCCAACCGGCTCTCCCTGGGCAGCAACAGGCGCGCGGCAGCCGAGCCCGCCACTTTGCCTGGCAAGGGGGGGGGGGTCCCAAAGCCGCATCCCGAGAGCAGCTGCGCCTGCGAGCGAGCCGAAAGGGAACTTCCGAGACTTACCCCCCAAACGGCAGAGGACTGGGGAAGACGGCAGCGAGGGACGGGGACAGGCGACGCCTGGAAGCAGCTCGGCTTAGCCAGCCAGAGCGGCAGGTAGTTGCTCGGCGTTTCTCCTGGAAGCGGGATGCCAGCCAGCCCCTCGGGCTCTTCTTAGGGCCTCCCCGGATAAGTTCCTCGCGAGGGCTGGTGGAATAAATGGTGTTCCTGGAACGACGCCAGCTGGAATCCTCGCCCGCTCAGGTTCCAGCGTGCCATCTGCTGCTCCGCTGGACGGACGCTGCCCACCACCATCCTTACCGGCCCGCTTTCCACAGAGCTCTTAGGGCGAGAAGCTGGGTGGGGACTCGCGTCGTCTCTCGCGGAGGGCGCGGGAGGAGGGGGTGGGTGGCAGTTAGACGGGGGAAAGGAACAGCGGTTCCCTCTCGAGCCCTACCTGCAGCTTCCTCCTCAGCACAGCCCTACAAGTGCCGGGCAGGTGCCGCCGTGCGTGGGGAACGATCCAAGTAGTCGAGAAGGTGCCCAGCTTCGGGGACATGGTCTCCTCTCCCCGCCGTGGAGGTAGCCAAGCACCTGGCTCTCTTCCTAGTGTGGACGCCCGGCGCCCGCCAAGTAAGGAGCACAAATCCCATTGCCACCATGGTCTTCCCGTGCCATGCTGGAAAGCGGTGCTGGGGCTACGCTTTTGGCTGGACCCGCCAGGGACACAGCAGCTCCGCTCTCGGGCGCTCTACCTCCGGAGAGTTGTCACCTGCCGGGTCCCTCTGTGAAAGTGCCTCCAAGATAACACCGCTGCTCGCCCGGCTCCCGTGCCATCCTCCTCTATTTGATGCATGCAGATCGCTCAGCCAATGAGATCTCTTCCCTTACTCTTTGCGAGCCTTCGATTGGCGCAGGAGCTTGGCACCGGCGTGGCCCGGGCGGGGAGGGGTCGGCTCCGGGTCTCCTTTGGCCGGGTGGAAAAGCGGAGGCAGAGGCTGCCCCTTCTTGCCTGACGCCGCTGAGAGAACTTCTCCAGACGCTCTTCCTTTTTCAAGTAGCCGGAATGGAGATCGGGATCCAGGGAGTGCCCGGATAGCACGGTGCAAGGGCAGATAGAGTTAAATCTAGGAGGAGGAAGAAAAAAAAAAAACCGTGTCAGGCACCACCGCAATGGAATCAGAAAGCAGGGTGAGATTGGGGAGAAGGGGGGGGTGTAATGCGAGGAAGGGCGCCTGCAGTTGATTGCTGTATTGCAACCCCTTGCTACTGAAATATTTAAGCGGATCTTGCTTTGGAAATAAGCCCAGAGTCAAGAGCAGGGAGGGGAATAAATGATACAGCAACCAGGAGACAGATATTTGCAGATAGACAAGAAAAAGAGGCTGTGAAGGGTGAGGGTGAAGATCGGGGGAGGACGGAACTACTGAAGCTTCTGGTTATCCAAAGAGGTGAGCTTCTGTTGTTAAGGAATATTGTGGATTGGACCTTGCTCCTCTTTGCAGGGAGTCTTAACATACATATTCTTCCTTTTCTATCTCTCCTCTCTGGTGCATCTTCCATGCCCTCCTCCCCAGTTTAGTCCAGAAGGAGGAACTTGGAACTGAAAGAGAAATACAAACCTACACTTAAATTTCATGCCAAATTTAAAAGGCTATGCCCCTAGTTAACTGGGCTTTGCTTTTGCCCCTAGTTTCCAACAGAAATCTTTCAATTCTTTTTATCTTTTTTCCTTCAGGGGGCTTCTTTTTGGTGTGAGCTGCCCTGAGTCCTACGGAAATAGGGCGGCATACAAATTATATTAAATAATAAATAAATAAATAAATAAATAAATAAATAAATAAATAGCCAAGTTGTCAATCAGAGCAATCCCAGCTCTGTTATAATGGATAAATGAGGCTCTCATTAAGCTACAGTTATTATAAGAAAATTTAAACAACCTGTGATTTGTTGAATCATTGTTTCAGAGTTATTTGCAGGTAGTCCTCAGCTTATGATCACAATTGAGCTCAAAATTTTAGTTGTTAAGTAAGACAGTTATTAGGTGAATTTTGCCCCATTTTATGACTTTTCTTCGCACAGTTTTTAAGTGAATCATTGCAGTTGTTAAGATAGTAATATAGTTAAGTGGATTTCCCCATTGACTTTCCTCCTCAGAAGGTCACAAAAGGTGATCACATGAGCCCAGGACACTGTGACCACCCTAAACATGAGTCAGTTGCCAAGCACCTGAATTTTGATCACATGACCATGAGGATGCTGGATTGGTCATAAATGTCATAATTAGCTTTTTTCAATGCTGTCATAACTTCAAACCATCACTAAACAAACTGTTGTAAGTCAAGGACTACCCGTACTTACCTAAATAGATCAACAGAATGACCATGGGTTGGCAAAGAAGTAGTGGGAACAGGAATGATTCTTGCCAGCTTTCCACTGACTTTGCTTGTGGGAAGCCTACAGGGAGAAAATTAATGGGAAGGAATGTCCTTTCTGGCAGGCTGGCAAGGAAGGCTGTAAATTACTTGGCTGAGTCTCTCCCCACATAATCTCCCAGTGCCTCTGTGCTTGGGGTAACCACTCACACACCCCTCTGCACAACAAGCAATATTTATGCAACTCTCCTACAACAGAAATTTCAGGAACAAGCAAAGATGTAGAAGAGCAAGTAGGGAAGGATAATACATTAGGGAAGAAGGTAGGTTTAAGGAAGGATAATACATCATTGATCAGTGCTTAGTGGTCTCATTGAAAAGTACTCCTGCAACCTTCATAGACTTCAAAGCAATTTTAGATTCCATGTCATGAACTAAACGATGGGGAAAACTGGAGGCCTCTTCAATTGACTGCTGTTTAGTCCATCTAATATATATGTTTCCTGAAGGGACACCTCAAAATCTAAGGGACTGGTTTGGACAAAACTCAGCAGCACTTTTTCGTGCAGCTGTTGATAAAAATAGGATCACCAACATGATTGCCAATGTCCAATAATGGATATGGTACAACAAAAAGAAGAAAGGACATCATTCAAAGCAAGGGTGCTATTCAGCAGGTTCTGATAGGTTCTGGAGAACCAGTAGCGGAAATTTTGAGCAGTTTGGAGAACCAGTAGCAGAAATTTTGAGTAGTTTGGAGAACCGGCAAATGCCACCTCTGCCTGGCCCCAGAGTGGGGTGAAAATGGAGATTTTGCAATACCCTTCCCCCAGGAGTGAGGAGGGAATGGGGATTTTGCAGTATCCTTCCCCTGGAGTGGGGTGGGAGATTTTAAAGTATCCTTCCCGTGCCACGCCACCAAACCACGCCCACCAAGCCACACAAGCCCACCAAGCCACGCTCACAGAACCAGTAGTAAAAAAAATTAAATTCCACCACTGATTCAAAGTAAGATGCAACCTCCAGTGCCATCTCACTTAGGCCATTGGAACTGAGAAGGCTGCTTATTGGCCCCATTCCTATTCAGCTTCTATATAATCTTCATTGTAGGCCATCTTCTCAATCCAACTTTCATTAAAAGTACTGCAAGGAAGACCAGCTGGAACTCAGCTATCAGAAAACTAAAATCATGGCATTTGCCAAAAGGCTAATATAGGCCAGCAGCGCTCAAATTATTTGAAGCCAAGCCAATAGTGCAACTTCTTTATGGTGCCTAGCTGGGACCATTCTCCATTTTTTTACCATTAGAACTTGTTCAATTCAAATTTCTAAAATCAGCCCTTCAGGTCTCAAAATGTGTGTCTAATGCAGTGATGAAATCCTGCTGGTTCTGTCCAGCTTGCGTGAGCCGGTAGCGCCAGTGGTGCGTGGTTCAGTGAACCAGTAGCGGCGGCAGCATGAGGCTCCACTCACCCTCCTGTATGTCATTACTTCATGGTTTTTAATCCTCTGCGCATGCACAAAGCCTTCTGAGCGTGCGCAGAGGGTCAAAAATTGGATGTGATGATGCGCGCACGCACTTCCGAACTGGTAGGGAAGGTAAGTAGATTTCACCCCTGGGCTAATGCCACCCTGAAAGTGGAGGTGAAAGAGTGGATAACTATATTCAACTACTAGCTGACACTGTCCTTTTTCCACTTTGGCCTTGCCCCTTTAACTATGAGGGATGATTTGCAGTTCACATGGAAACAGGCATTGGCAATTCAAATCTCATCCTTGGGCTTTTCCGGGTTTTCTACTCAATATGGAGTATGATTAGGCCAAAGCACTCATTAAACAGCAAGTAGCAGATACAGAACAACTGGATCTAGCAGGGTCCCCAACCTTTATTACCAATGAATCCAACAGATATTCTGGCTCCCCTACGGCATCCTTAACTAAATTCGAAGTACCAAATCACTGGGGAGCCTTTACCCTAATATGTCCTCAGCTGAGCTTTCCTTGAAGGCTGATACAGAAAGATTCCCTACCTGGAAAAGCAATGTACACAGAAACAATAGAGCATGTGTTCTCCAGTGCCTCTATTACAGAGACATTTGTATTAGCCTCATGTCACCATTATTATATAACTATCCAAGGTGCACAGGACAATTTTACACCTCCCTGCTGCTTTTAGATGCCATCCCTGCTACAACATATAATGTTGCCAGGTTTTGCACAGCAGCACTTAAAATCCATCAGATGATGACCTGTGCCATGCACTAGTCTTAATGAGCATCTAGTTCGTCATACTAAAGTGCTCTGTCCTTCGATAGCTTTAGTCTGCCACGTTCTTTATGCTCTCTTATACCTTTCTAATGTTCCTATCTATCCTTTCAGATTTCTTTTAGAGTTTTGTTCTTATATATGCTTTCTGTTTTATATATTTTAGCTTTTATAATTATTTTTCTTTACACTTTGATGTATTTTCTATGCTTTCTAATTGACTGTAACCAACTATCTTTGTGGTGATCTTTGGCAATAATAAACATTTTGACTTGATACGATGTGTACCTCCCATGCACCCACTTGCTATCTTCCCCACCTGGCAGTAGCCACTGATCTGCCTGCTGACGTTGAACTTGCAACTTCCTGCCAGGTTCCCCACTGGCTTTGCTTGTGGAAGCTAGCAGGGAGCCTCAGCAATCATGATAGATGACTTCCCCATTTGATGTGTTGGAATCTGTCAGGGAGTGTTGGGAATGATGACCACGTGACCATGGCTGACTGTGTGGTAGTGTGGCATCATGGTGGCATTGAAGCAACCACAAGTTTTCCAATTTTCAATCTTACAGGAATAAGCAGTCCTACATTTTGGATACATTCTGTAAATTAATCCATTTGGAGTATCTCGGTTCAAAAATCCTCGCTTTATATGATGGACTCTTTCACCCAAATTAAGGTTACAGACAAAGAGAGTTTTAGTAGTATATAGATATACTGTCATGGACTGTCATGCCCTTTAGCCTCCAAGAAAGTAGGTGAGCCTGCTGCTCTGAATTGTGCAGTCCCATTATAGCAATGAAGATTCAATTTTTTGTACTGTTGGCTTGTCTACATTATGTGAACTGTAAAAATGTAAAATGTCTCAAGTGGCTCTGCTCATGAGATGCTGTTAGAGAAACTCCTCTGTCAGGCATAGTTTTCCCTCTTCCTAAGTACAGTATTGTTATAAAGACAGAATACAGTAACAAAACTCCATAAATATATAAAGGCTGAGCACTTTAAACATGCTATACATGTGCTAAGGTTTGTTATTGACCTGTGTTTCCCTTGCAATACTCTTTCCAATCTATTATTTAGACCAACATACTGTATTTGAACATATAGAATATATGTTATATATAAGAAGAACTCATCAAATTTGCAGATGACATCAAACTGGGAGGCGAAAGGAGGAATAGCCCATTTTGAAGATAGGCTCAAGACCCAGAAGGATCTTGATAGACTTGAACACTGGACCCTATCCAAGAAAATGCAGTTCAGTGGTGAGAAAAGTAAAGTTTTACACTTAGGCAAGAAAAAACAAAGTATACAATAGATCATACCTGGCTCAATAGCAGTAATTGTAAGTGGAATTTAGGAGTCCTACTGGACATCCACTTAAATATGAGCCAGCAGTGTGCTGCAGCTGTCAAAAAAAAAAAAGCCAATGTGGTCCTAGGCTACATCAACAGAGGGTTAGTATCAAGGTCACATGAAGT